TCTCAAAATTTGAAATTCAATTAATGTATTACATCAAAACAACAGGCTAAAGAAGAAAAATCACATGACATATCAATAGATCCAGAAAACTCATCTGACACTCATGCATGATAAAAACTCTCAGTGAACTAGGAATAGATGGGGAACATCCTCAACTTGATAACAATTACCTACCAAACCAACAGCTGATATCATACTTAAGGGTGGGAAATCCAAAGATTTTCTACTAATATTATAAAAAAGGGAAAGATATCCTCGGTCACATGTCAGGTAAGTTAATATAAAACTAACTAAATAAACAAAAAATCTATAAGAGGAAAACTATCAGACTCTGATAAATCAAAGAAGAGCTAAATAAATGGAATATATTTCATGTTCATGGACAGGAAGACTCAACATTGTCTGGATGTCAGTTATTCCAAACTGGAACTACAGATTAAATAAAATTCCAATCAAAATTCCAGCAAGTAATTTTGGATACTGACAAATTGATTCTAAAACATATATAGAGAGGCAAAAGACCCAGAATAGCCAACACAATATTGAAAAACAGGATGGAAGTTGAAGGATTAATACTATCAATCTTGAAGACATACTCTAAGCTACAGTCATAAAGACAGAGTGATTTTGGGAAAGGAACAGACATATAGATCAATGGAACAGAATAGAAAGCCTAGAAATAGACTCACATAAATACAGTCAACTAATTTTTGACTAAGGAGCAAAAAAATACAATGAAGCAAATATAGCCTTCTCAACAAATGATGCTGGAAAAATTGGACATCTACATGCAATGCAAAAAACAGAAAGAACTTAGACAGAAATCGTACACCCTTCACAAAAAATAATTCCAAATGGAACACAGCTCCAATTCTAAAACACAGTAATATAAAAACTTCCAGATGATAACACAGTACAAAGTCCAGATGACCTTCGCTTCGTCCATGACTTTTTAGATTCTATGCCAAAGGCATGATCCACAAAAGAAACGATTGATAAACTGGACCTTATTAAAATTAAAACTTTCTGCTCTATGAAAGACATTCTCAAGAGAGTGAAAAGACAAACTGCAGATTGGACAAAAATATTTGCAGACAACATATCAGGTAAAAGATGCTAATGAAAATATGCAAAGAACTGTTAAAACTCAATGATATCAAAACAAAAACTCCAATTAAAAATGGGCCAGAAACCTTAACAGACATCTTACCAAAAATATATATACGGATGAAAATAAGCATATGAAGATATGCCCCCCATTGTATATCATCAGGTAAATACAAATTAAAACAATAATAAGATACCACTACATGCGTATTAGAATGGTCCAAATCCAGAACATGGACAACAACAGATACTGGTGAGATTGTGGAGCAAAAGCAACTTTCATGCACAGGTGATGGAGATGGAAAGTTCTACAATTACTTTGGAAGACAGTTCGGCAGTTTTAAAAAAACTAAACACTCTTTTTCCATATGATCTAGAAATAACACTCTATGATATTACCCAAAGAAGTTGAAAACTTATGTCCACTCAAAACCTGAATATGGATGTTTAGAACAGTTTTGTTTATAATTTATGAAACATGGAAGCAACAAAGACGTCTGTCTGCAAGTGAATGGATCAATGAACTGTAATACAGCCAGAAAATTGAATATTGTTCCGTATTAAAAAGAAATCAGTTATTAAGTCATAAAAAGACATGGAGGAAACTTAAAGTCATATCACTAAGTAAAATAAGTCAATGTGAAAAGGGTAACTATTGCATGATACAACTATGTGACATTTTGAAAAAAGCAAAACTATGGAGACAAGTTTGAAAAATGAGTGGTTTCTTGGGGTTGGGGGAAGGTAGGAGTGAATAGGAAGAGCACTAAAGATGTTTAGGGTAGTGAAATGACTATAATACTATAATGGCAGATACCTGCCACTATACATATCAAAGCCCATAACATACGCAACACCAAGAGTGAACTCTAATGTAAGCCATGGATTCTGGGTGATAATGATGTGTCACGGTAAGTTTATCAGCTATAACTAATGTGCCACTCTAGGGGGGGATGTTGACTACAGAGGGGGCTGTGCTTGTGTAGGGACAGGTGGTATACAGGAAATCTTTGTATCCTACATGCAACTTTGCTGTGAACTTAAAACTGCTCTGAAAAACTAAAGTCTATTTAAAAAAGGAAAGGAAAAAAATCAATTTGTCAAACCGAAAGACTTAAAGGAAATAAAAACATATTGAACTGATGAAAATAGAAACACAAGATGTCAGAATTTTGGGGATGCAGCAAATGCAGTGTTAACAAGGAAATTATAGAACTAAATCCTATATTAGAAAGGACATTTCAAATCAGAAATCTAAAATATTATCTCAAAAAATTTAAAAATAAGAGCAATATAAAAGTCAAAGCAACTAAAAAATAGGCAAATATTAAAAGAGCAGAATTCATTGAATGGATTACAAACCACAATATAAAAATCAGTAAAAATTACTGTGGTTCTTTGAAAAGCCTCTAGCAGAGTTAACAGAAAAATAGAGAGAAGGCACCAAAAAAATAATAATATAACAATATTGTCAGAACATGGGCAAGAAACAGGAAGAGAAATCTCCTTAACAAAGAGGATATAACATATATGGCTAGCTAATAGGCATATAAAAAGTTGTTCATCACTATCAGACTTGAGGGAAATGTAAATGAAGCCTATGATGAGCAGAACCAAAATTTTAAGTGAAAATACCCCAACCTAGCAGGGATGTAGAGAAACGGGATTTTTATAATTACTGGTAGGATATAAAATGTTATTTATATGTTATCTATATTCTGTAGCCACTATAGAATATAATTTGGAATTTTATTTAAAACTAAACAAACATTTTCTATTCTATGGTGCAATTTGCACTTCTGGGCATTTATCCCAGAGAAATAAAAGCTTACGTCCACACAAGAACATCCACACTACAATTGCTTTGCTCCTGTGATGGTATGTTAGCTTACTGCTCACAAGTCGTGGTTATAGAGGTTATACAATAGTTAGTAAAAGCCCTGCTTTCAGTTCTTACACAATTTTTTGTCAGCAGAGGTAATGTTCAGGTGATATGCACAAGTACGGCTAAACAATTATGTAGGTCTGGCCAACATTCTGATTGGCTAGCATTATTTGTTGTTTAAATAGTCGTCATATTTTACTGGATATTTTCAGTATTACCCATGGAGATATTATTTTCTTTTATTTTATAAAGAGAGATGCTGACTTTAAAGAATTTCAACAACTCACCAAATGTCATAATCTCATTATTTTTAAGACTACTTTTTTCTCTATTCTATAATTACTTCCTATCAATTTGAGAATTTCACTCAACCAAATATCTTTTCTTATACTACCTCTTAATGAATTACATATGAAAGAAAACTTTAAAACACAAAAATTACAAGAATGAATAATACTTATCAGCTGACAGGTAATTCCTAGTAAACTTGTCAGTATAATTAATTGCATGTATAATACATGCTACACTAAATTAACATCTAAATACCATAGTTAGTAGCCATTAAATTACATTTATCACTCTTGTTCCTTTGCAAAGGGTTTGTTGACTCATTAAAAAGTGTTAGGGTAAGTAACTGAATACTATATTGCTGTCAGCAGCTGGTGGTTGAGGTTCCCCATCAGAATAAATGCCAGAATAATACAGAACTGACAATATTAACATCTTTCACCAGTATTAAAATTTGGCTGGGCTTTGAAAGATTAAGAAATATACAAAGAGCTAAAGGTAAAACATTTTTGACAAGGATAATGCATTCTTTGATCTTATCGGAATAAATGGTTGGCACAAAGTAAATGATTGATCAGTGGTAGCTGAGGTGGGAGAAGAGGAGTAGTAGCGAGAAGTGGAGAAATGGCCGGTGTAGAGATGGGTCTATATTCAGGGAAGAGGTTGTGTTAGAATTCTAAGTTAAAAATTTATGAGGCATGTAAAGTAAAGGGAGTGGAAGAAGTTATCAAAGCATTTGTCTAAACTGATGGGAGACAAAGTGAGGCGACCCCCTGGAAACATCAATGCATGCAGTGGCAAGGGAGCTCGCTGTAGAAACGATACAGTGATACAGTTCCCACATTACATAACCTGTGAGCTAGGAAGATGCAGAAAAGACGAGTCCAAAGACAAGTAAGAGACAAGAATGGGACATCTCCAGAGATACTCAGACAAAAAGTTAAGGAAAACAGTTAAGAGAAAAGCAGAAGGTATATAAGGCTACAATGAGTCACCTTGTTAAAAGAAGGACAGCAGTGTTACAGGAGACTTTGCCTATCATATCATCAAGGGACATTCCTGGGAAGGTTCTGAATGTCAGGCTAAGGCTCCTTATCCCTGAATTTAATAAGTAAAGGGGTATAATAGAAATATGTTAATTTTAATTCATAGTTGAAAAATTATATTGAGCTTTCATGTTCATAGATATAATTTTTTCACTTTGTATTTGTTATTTATCCTTTTCCCCATACTGAGATAATGCATTTATAATTCATTCTAATGCAAACATTGTTATTGTCAATTTTATATTAAGGTAATAAAAAGGCAGATTTATGAATGTATTAAAAAAGTATATAAACAAAATATAAATATATAAATTTATATAAATATGAAGTCAGATTTTTACAAAGTATTTTTAATTATTATTTAGAATGAAACCACCAAAGGACTGCTTTAGTTCCCAGGATGTTATTTTAGTTTGACACAAATGCAGTTCATAAGGAATTAAAACTAAGAAATGCAATTAGTTTTGTGTAATTTATTTTAAGTGCTGCCTTTAAGTGAAAATTTGCCAATAAAATCTTAAAGTAAGTTTATTCTTCTGGACATGAGGGATATTTCAAGATGAGCAGAGAATGTGTGTTTTTGCTCTTGTGATTCCCCAAAGGTTTCCCCTCTTTGTTCCTTAATGACATTAATGTGGTTTAGAGGGGTTATATGATGAATTTCTTGGGTTTACCTTTGCTTCAATCTGTTTAGTATCTGGATTCTGAAACAAAAATTTGATTTTGCTCTTGCCATCATCTGAAGAACCTTTAAGCTGAGAGAATTTATACCTCCAAAGGATAGCCTAAAGGGAAAAAAAGAAACAATGTAAGTCAATGGAATTAATATCTGCTTTCAAATCAAGAAACTGTTCTTTTTTAAATGGTAAAAGTTAATCATACAAAGTTAGTACTATGTCCCAATATTTTAAAATGAAATTTAAAAATGTTAACATTTGTGATTCAATATTATCATTTAATTTTTAGAAATATTTTTTCCATGAAATAATTATTGTGAAAATACATAAAAATAAATTGCTTTTTGTATCTTGTCTTACGTGCACGGTCAATAAGAACTGTATGTTTCATGGAGTCCTTTTCAATAGAAGTGATAAGGTGATTTTGAATTGATCATTCTGGAGATTTATCTTGAAGTTCAACTAATAACTTTAGCTTTATTAAGATGACATATTAGCTTGAATAAACACTTGTGACAAAAGCTGACACGGTACTTTCATGAGATTCAGAATAAGCATTTTATAGAGCCATCCGCATCAGTCTATAGTATCTTGGAAAGTAGAGAGGCCTCTTTCAGAAACATATTCTACAAATGTAATTCCCTGAAGCAGAAAGTAACAGAAATCTGTTGCCTTTCCAAATAACAAAAAAGGATATATACAAGATTAAATTGACAATAAGTGGGAATTGTCTATAACAATTTTTTGTCTATCCTATATCATAAATCATATTTCCTGGGAGTAGGTGCAGCACTTCGCTCTTTGGTATGTCCTGAAACTAAAACCATTCATGTCCAAAGTAAAATACCAAAGATATAAATCATTAAAGAAAATTGTGTACGTGTGTTCAAACACGATCACATGCCATGTAGTTTTTTTTTACCTTATCTTAGCATATGTTCACCTCATTAAATATGTGATAGAAAATACTTTTACAAATTACTGTTTCAAATATTTTTAAAATGATTTATTGTGGTTTCTAAATAGATCAACAAAACATAGCTGATATAGTCAAATATTTTCTGAGTACAGTCCTATGTAAGCTATTGTCTCTGATGAAATAGTAAAGAAACAACAGAGTATATGTCTCACATCTTTTTCAGAATAAAATCGGATAGATAAAAGCATATATGGGCATACCTCGGGGTATATACAGGCATACCTCAGGACTTTTGCGGATTTTGTTCCAGACCACCATGAAACAGCAAGTATTGAAATAAAGTGAGTCACAGAAATTGTTTGGTTTCCCAATGCACATACGAATTATGTTTGTTACAATCCTGTAGTCCATTAAGTGCACAATGACATTAAGCCTAAAAAACAATGGATATACCTTAATTAAAATATACTTTATTACTAAAAAATGCTAGGAGCCATTCGAGTCTTCAGTAAGCCATAGTCCTTTTGTTGGTGGAGGGGGTTGCCTTGATGCTGATGGCTGCTGACTCATCAGGATGGTGATTTGTGGTGGTTGGGGTGGCTGTGACAATTTCTCAGAATGAAGTCCTTTGGTTGTGGAGGGGCGTTGCTTGAGCGATGGCTGCTGGACTCATCAGGATGGGTATTGTGGTGGTGTTGGGGTGGCTGTGACAATTCTCTCCAGAATAAGACGCAATGAATCTCTGCATCGATTCTCTTTCATGACAATTTTCTCTGTATCTCATAAGCCT